CCGCTGCCGCCGCCGCCGCTCTTATTGCCTCGGCCCCGGCCCGCCGCCCCGAACCAAAAGCGCCCTGCATAAATTATTTTTGAGACCTCCAATATCTTCATGCATGTGTTAACCAGCAGTCCTCCTGAGAGCCTGTGTTCCAGTTCTGCTCAGTCACTAACTGAACACCGCAAACATAGTATCCTTATTTTTTATTTGTGCAACACACCCAGCTCAAAGATTTGGAATCACAAATAAAGTATATTTTCAAGTAATTGGCCTAGTTCTAGCATTTTATGCAAAAAAGAGATAAAAAGAAAGAGTAATTTGACTGTTCATGTGCATTCATATTCTGCATAGTTATGAATGTCTGTATGTATAAAAACCCAGCTGTCAGTGGCAGCACTTATTGAACTTACTTTTACATGTATTTCCTGGTAATAAAACCAACAAATATATCCAACTACATACTTTTTATTTTGATACTGGGAATCGAACTCAGGACCTTGCTCTTGCAAGGCAGGCAGTGACACCACTGAGCTAAATCCCCAGCCCTAACTACATATTTTTAAAAGGAGAAATTAATTATAATAGTTAACATTGTAGGCAGACAATGAATATTTGTTTTCATGTTTCTGCACAATCTGGGCTAAGTATAAAGCTTACAAAACTTAGGTAAAGGGTGATTGAAGAGCGGATATGTCTTAGAACAAGAGGCCTAGAGCTCTTGCATTGTTTCTGAAAGATTTATACATTTATCTTCCCCAGAGCCATTCATTTGCATTCCAGGGTGGTCAATAGAGTGAATTTCCTTTCACATTCGAGAAATTTTGTTACATTCCAGAGTGATGGTTTCCCTGTCCCTGGTGGTAGAGTAGATCAATGTGCCAGCTGCCCTTGATGAAGTCTAAGTCTGTAATTCTGTGGATCAGTACCACAACACTCACAGGGTGATATCAGACTCTCATCATAGTGCCCTCTGGTGCCTGGGGTGCCAGAGTTCAAAGGTGCTAAGAGAATAATGAATGGTCTACATTCTGTGATCTGCAAACTTGTCCACATATCTGTCTCTTTGTATCTGTCCATCAGTCCATCTACCCACCCACTCACAAATGCATCCACCCCTCTATCCATCCACCTTTCCATCTATCGCATTCATCTATCCATCCATCCAAACATATCACTTGACTTATGATAGTAGTTTAGATTCTTTGTATGACTTCTTTTTCTTTTTAGCTTTGTCAAACAAGACAAACCATGCCAACTTAAAGAGTATTGTTTTCGTAAAGCAAACATTCTTTGTAAAGTTTGACTATGAATAATTTCTCTCTAATTATATTAATTGAATTAAATTCTTCTGTCTTGAATATTTACTTTGTGTAAATATTCAACAGTGTCAAAATGATTGTTAAATATTGCAAAATAGCATTTTCAAAGTATTGTTTAAAGGAAAAAAATTGAAGTTATTATTGAAATTTTTACTGATCTTGAAAGTGTGCATACTTAATTTCATTTTCATAAAATCTAAAATTTAATTGAAATTTAGAAATACTTTCTGAGTTACCACAGTACTTTGAACAGAATATTTTAAATATGTTTATAAGAGATAACCTTATTATCTGTTTTCTATAAACTGGGAAATGACTGTATCAGGTAAATTTTAGAAAAAGAATGAAGTCTAGAGTTAAAGGATTACTAGAAGAGATAAGACACCACTATATATCTGTGATCTTTACTAGAGATACTTTTTTTTTTTCCTTAGGAAAAGCATAGCTTCTTTCTGGGAAAATTGAGATTGATAAGTACTTTGATGTTCAATAAGAAAGAAAAAAGAATGTTGCTTTTACAGAAAGAGTCAAGAAAATAATACCCATTTTTACAAAAGGTCATTGTCTTGTGTACTTTACCATACACTATCGAGAATATAAAGCTGTCTTTTTTTAAATTAAGCTAGTGTAAATATTTGTTTAAAAGCAAACAGGACACCGACATGCTAAACTAAAACAAAAAGGTCACACTAATTGCTTTATATAAAATAGTTCTTTAAAGTGAGTAGGAGTACAGTAAAAAAAGGGGGGGATGGGAGTCTATCATTTCCAGCCAAATCTTTGTCTATATAGAAGAAATGTATCACCATAATGAATAGATGGTATACAACTTGGTGTATACTATGTACCTAGACAATAACTTAACAAAAAAAATGTTTTGTTAAATGAAATAATGACACCCAAGAAGGTGAGACTGTAGTATTCTGCTGGGAATCTCTTTAAATGTGATACTTAACAGTTTTGATAAAATATCCACATTCATAAAGCAATGGATTGTTATAAATATAAATAGGTAAGCTATGGGGAAGGCTAGGTGCCTGTCAGCACATGAATGCATAAAGAAAATCTGATATTCATACGCAATACAGGAAAGTACTGTATAAAATATAATCCAGTATTACCTAGCAGTAAAGAAGGGTGAAGCCATGCCATTTGAAGGAAAATGAATGGAACTGGTGACCATCATGTTAAGTGAAATATGCCAGCCTCAGAAAGTTAAATTTTGCATGTTTTTTTCTTACATGAACAATCTAAAGAAAACCAAGAGATGACAAGAAAGTAGAAAATGCATGGCTTTTTGAAAATGAGGTGGAGAAGGGGGTTGTCCAGGTGGAGAGGGGAGGGACAGGAAGGGGAAGAGCAAGGATAAAAAAATGTCATGAGCATGTACCAATATACCAAAGTGAATTGCATTATTCTGAATTGCTTAATATGCACTAATAAAAAATAGACTTTGTGAAGTATGTTACTAACTACATTGTTAAAGTTCATAAAGCCAAAAAAGGAAAAAGAGAAGAAAAAAGAAAAGAAAAGACTTTTTGGATTGGTTTTCCAACAGCACCAAATTCAAATGAAGCATGGAAAATACAGCTTTCTGATGGTTCTGTGCATGGGCCATTTTGGGTCCTGTGTTCTGAACATGTCCTCTCTTCTGGAAAACACCTCACTCAACCCATCAGGGTTGGTTTTTCTGATTACTGATACATCCAGCCCTCTTGGGTGTCTGGCTTGCTGCAGCCCTGATTTCCTACCTCAGATGTAGAAGAAACACAAAGACATGTTTGTACTTTTAGAGAAGACTATTCTTCTCAGAGAGACGGGGGGGGGAGAGAATTTCATGCACTCTTTTCATCTGGCAAATATCCAGCAAGCTATTTTAACTTCTTGATGTTCTTCTTGTCAGTTTTCCCTTCCTTATCTCAAATCACCTTAGAGTTGATTTTGGTTCAGTGCACCTCACAGCCTATTTAAGTCACCTCTGAGCTGCTTCTGTACTCTGTGTTGTCTACTGTGGTTCTGAAACCCTTCAAATTTCATTTCTGCTTCTGGGAATTTCTGTGTAGCTTACTATAAACTGGACTTTTTTAATGCACACAAAATGATTGTCACCAGTGAAGAAATATTTTTGATAAAATTATTCTTAGCACTGTAACCATCTGAAATGTGGCTTCCCTGACCATGTCATATAATAAAAACAACTTCAGGCTGGGCGTGGTCGTGCACACCTGTAATCCCAGCACTCAGGAGGCTGAAGCAGGAGGATTGCTGTGAGTTCGAGACCAGCCTGGCTACATAGTGAGTTCCAGGTCAGTCTCAACTACATAGTGAGATCCTGTCTCAAAAAAACCAAAACAAAACAAAGCAAAACAAAAAAACAAACAACTTCAGCACAAAGTATTCCTTGTTCAGGGAAATTTGATACAGAAACAAATGTAAGAAATATAGGAAGGGACAACAACTATTTTAGAAAGAGATTAGGTGGTTACCTAGCTACACACAGGTTTTGGGTAAACGCCCACTCTACCTAAAATGTCCAGCTCTCTCCCACACACAGCTCTCTCTCACCTCTTCCGCTTTATTTTTTCACTTAGCATACACTATAAGTTTTATCAGTCTAGCAATATATGTGCACACATACATATATAATTATACTATATACATTTATATAATTATAATTTATATAATTTATATATCATTTTTATTGATTGAAGCCTTCACTAGACTGCCACCTCTGTGAAGGAAAAGACGTAACCCTTTAGTTGACTATTGTGTCCTCTGCTTGTAGACTAAGACCTGCCATATACTTGTGCTCAATAAGTACTGTATCACTGAATAAATGAAATGAGAGAGTCTGCTGCAGAGAGAATCCTGAGATTGTTACACTTCTGTCCCAAATAATGAAAGGTGTCTGTCCCTTCCAGAGTGACGTGCCGGCTTTTAGCCACATGGTATCGACACAGGTGAATGTTAGCAAGCAGCAACTCACCTAATAGCAGAGGTTCCATAATATCTTTAAGTGTTTGCTAAACAAACTCCTTGAGGTAAAATTGAAGAACAGCAAAGCAATCTGGGGAATTCAACATGAGACCATGAGACTAGTGTATCTATTACTGAAATTATTGAACAATTGCTGTTGCGTAATGGAAAGTGGATAGTGTATACATTATTATATTGTTTATAAATAATATACAGAGAGGATGCATGTTTCTACTGCCTGGGCAAATGCACAGTTCCTCATTGCCCCTTGTTCCTTCCGCTCCCTATTCCTTCACAGAAGATAGGAGACCTGATGACATTGCACACCTTACCGATTTTAGCCTAATTTATTCAAATGATATTAGCTGCACAAGTAATACAACATAATTTGATACATTTAAAACTAGGTAAATCAAAGAAAGGACCTATATTTTT